CCCGGGCATGTGCCCTGACCGGGAATCAAACCAATGATCTCTTGGTTCATGGGTCGATGCTCAACCACTGAGCTACACGGACCGGGCCATCCAGCATCTGTTTAGCGGGGCCCACATTTCAGTAGCTGGGAGGGGCAAGCACTCCTCTCTCTTCTCAAGACCAAAGCTAGACGTTGACATGGATGGAACAGTTTGAACCTTGACCCTTGGCCTCCTGCTTGCAAAGCTGCAGGCCCTTTCTGTAGCTCTGTTGCGGAAGGGGGAGGAGCAGAGAAAAACTGATCAAATTACTGGGGAGAATTGCAAGCTTTCCTTTACAGGGAACGAACAGCAAGGGGTGCTGTTGCTGCTTCCTGGACTTCGTGACTGTTTCAGAATCGTGATAGAAACATGCGTTAAAACCTGGTTCCCCACCATGCTTCTGTGAAGATGGGCTGTGTTCTGAATGTCGCTAGCGGGGAAACAGAGAGGCTAAGCCGGGGAGCGGCTTCACATTTGAGAGACACGTGTGCTTTGAAAATTTGGGGCAGAGCAGCCTCCTGGACTCCTATATCAGTCTCCCCAAAACATGCACCAGACATTTCCTTTGTCCTCCGGGGACTTTCTGTCTGGTCATGAAATGACAACTTAGCAGAAGGGGGGCCGGGGGGGCGGGATCGGAAGGCAAGCTGAAAGGGCATATCTGTTTGGAGGTCAGAAAAAGGCTGTTGAAAAGAGACCTTGAAGGCCAGTGGAGGGCAGGGAGGGCGGTCAGCTCCGGGCAGCAGGGGCATCCAGACGGGAAAAGATGGATGTAGATGTGGAGCCGGGCAGACCTGGGCATGTTCAGGGGACCACAGAGTCAGAGCCTCAGATATCTTCAGGGACCAACAGGCCAGTGGGAGACGGGCCGGGTGGGGAAGACGGGGGCAAACTGGGCAGCTCCTTACCTGGCCGTGTTACCAGGCCAGAGGCAGGCCCACTGCTTCCTGATCCCTCCTTCCTTTTCGAGAGAAGCCACAGGTCTGAATGTCCGTGTGAACCACAGACTGAGTGGCTTATAAACATCAGGCATTTACTGTTGACAGTTCTGGAGGCTGGCAAGTCCAAGACCGTGGCACTGGCAGGCTCAGTGTCTGGTGAGAACCCGCTTCCTGGTCGCAGACAGACACCTTGTCACTGTCCTCACATAGCAGAAGGCGGGGGGAGTGATCTTGGGGCCTCTTATATAAGGGCCTTAATCTCATTCATAAGGGCTCCACCCTCATGGCCTGATCACCTCCCAAGGCCCCCACCTAATAATCCCATCACTTTGGGGAGGGGTGCAGTTCAATATATTAATCCGGGGGCGTGCACACATTCAGTCCATAGCAGCAGGCAGCGTGGCAGGGCCAGGACTTGGGAGAGACTAGCAGAAGCCCAGGGCACTTAATGCAAGGAGACCCTCAGCCCCGGGTGCCAACCCTGAGAGGGAGGCCCCTCACGCTCCCATTTGCAAGTTAGGGTTCAAAGAGAAAAGCAGTGAGAGACATATTGGCAAGATAGGGCTAGGTCTTTGAACTTCACTGGGTGGGCACTGGGGAGCCACTGAAGATTTATGAAGATGACCATCATGTGGAGGGCAGTGAAAATGTGGGCTGGTGAGGGCTTTCCTAATAGGCCAGGCTGGAGCTGGGGAGGCGGCCCCAGGAACCATTGATTATCTTGTACGGAGGTTCTAGAGTCAGATTGTCCCAGTTCAAATCCTGACTTTTCCAGTTACTAGGTATGATCCTGGGCAAGCAATTAACCTCTCCATGTCTCAGTTTCTTTATCTGTAAAATGGGCATCGTAGTAGGGCCTGCCTACCTCAGAACGTGGTGGAATTTCAATGAGGTCATCTATGTGAAAAGCTGAGAACAGTGCCTGGCACACAGGAGGCACTCGGAACACATTAGCAGTGAGAACTGATGTAGAGGCCAAAGGGCCAGCAGATCCCCAGCACCCAGGAGGTAAGCAAGCACAGGAACAGTGCAGGTTAGAAGCCCCTGTGGGAGCTTTTAAACCTCCCCAAACCAAAGCCCTGCCCCAGACCAATTAAATCAGTCTCTAGGGTGGGGTCTGGGTATTGTTTTCTGGAAGTTTCCCAGGAGTTCAATGTGCAGCTGAGCTAGGGAATCACTGCTAATCTAGAACCTTGTGTGCCCGAGGCCTGAGGCAGAGAACTGACCTTGAAAAGACACAGACAGGCAACCATTTTGCAGCAGGAGGTGAAGCCAGATGGAGTGGGGGTGGAAGGGTGTGTGACCTCAGGGCCCAGCTGGCGGCGTCTAGGGTTCCTGGGGGCCTTGAGGGCCTGGCTGTCACCGGCACCCCAGCCCCAGGCTGGGACGAAGGCCGCCACCTGTACCCTGGGAGGACTACCGAGCTGGAGGCCTGAGCAGCAGCTCTGAGCTGGGCTTGGGCGCCAGGGGGAGCTCGTGGGGACAGCCAGGGCTCCATCCCCGCAGCTGGTTCAAACTGGTTTGGGCAGGGTGCGGCCCAGGCCGGCTGCATTCCGGGCCTCAGGCTTGCAGCCTGCCTCACGGTCTCCCCAAGACCTGGGGGCCCCGGGCAGGGCGCTGGGGCTTGGGCCCAGGACACTGAGAGGCCGGGAGATTTTTATAAATTCCGTTCTCTTTGTTTAAAATCATTGTTTTGGCCTCCCATGGGGGTCCCTAGCCAATGCCCGGAGGAAGAGGGAGCTCCCTAAGTAAGGGTCACTCTCAGACTTCCGTGTGCATGGGACTCAACTGCAGAGCATGTAGAACGCAGGTGCCCCGCTCCCCCAAAGATGCTGAGGCAGGAAGTTGGGACATGGCTCCGGGCATCAGTATTCTTAGCAAACTGTGTCTAAGGCACACTGGCACTCACACATTTAGGGGGGAAAGACTAGAAACAACAGGACTGTTGGCTAGCCAACTGGGCCCAGGAATCACGGGGGTGCTTGGGAAGAGAGCAGATCATTTCCCCAGACACCCCCTCTCCAGGGACAGGGTCTCTGGGCAATCCCTACTTTCAGCTAACATCCCAGCTTTTTGTTTTGTTTTGTTTTTAATTAGTAATTTTGGGCATTCAAAAAGTTTAAACATTATAACCAATAGCAGCAGGAGAAAGAAAATGTTATAACTATAATTGAACCCCCCTCTCATATCCTTCCCCAATTTACCCCCACCCCAAAGTACCCACTTTCCTAACTGTGGCACAGCTTTATGCTCTCACTCCATATGTCTGTGTCCATAAACAATATATAGTGTGCTTTCACATGTTTTTAAAACTTTGTGTTAATGGCAGAGTGCCCTACCGAGCCTTCTGTATCTCTCTCTCTCTCTCTCTCTCTCTCTTTCTCTCTCTCTCTCTCTCTCTCTCTCTTTCTCTCTCTCTCTCTCGCTCTCTCTCTGCATTATGCTTTTGAGATTCATCCATCAAGGGAAGTTTGCTGAGCTCAGTCCTATTTGGCTAATCTGAGGCCACTTCTGGGTTTTTCCATGGGAGAGCCCCAGCCAGCCCGAAGGGGTGAGGGTCTGCCCTCCATCCCTGGGGGGAGGGGGTGTTAATGTGTGGAAGGGCTCTGAGCAGGAAGGTCAGGACAGTAATGAGTGGCTAAGCTCAGGTTCAGTGAGTTCCTAGCAAATCCTTTTTCTAAGCACCTGAGGCCCAAATCTTTGCCAAGAATTTTCCAGAAAATGACTCTGGCCTGAAGGCCTGAATGTTTGGGTGGAAAGTAGAGAAATCAGCAGTGGGCAGCTGTGGAAGCGGGAACTGTGCAGTGACGAATCACCCAGAAGGCAGACGGAGCATGTGCTGCCACCCCTCCCTACCCAGGGTCATCTGATAAAATATAAATTCAGATTGAATGGGAGGGGGGAGGGGTGGCCTGTCTATTTATTCGCAACCCTAAGCCCAGCCAAAATTTTTTAAAACGAATTTAATCTTTTAAAGGAAAAGTCATCATAGGAAAAATCAGAACTCCAGGCTTCCCCATATCTCTTTACCTCGCTTAGTACTTTCTTCATTAGCATTGCTTTGGGGGCTGCACCCCACCCTCCCCAGCCTCTAAAGCAGCGGTTCTCAACCTGTGGGTCGCGACCCCTTTGGGGGTCGAACGACCCTTTCACAGGGGTCGCCTAAGACCATCGGAAAACACATATAATTACATATTGTTTTTGTGATTAATCACTATGCTTTAATTATGTTCAATTTGTAACAGTGAAATTGGGGGTCACCACAACATGAAAGGGTCGCGGCAGTAGGAAGGTTGAGAACCACTGCTAAAGGCTCTAGACAAGCCTCCTATGAGTGATTGGGGGGGGGGGGGGAGTCATATTTGGTGCGCTGAAGAATTATCTGGGGAGCTTATGTTAAAAGCTGCTCGGGGAGGAAGAGGACCGCCACACCCGCATTCCTAACTTCCAGGACTCCCCGCCTGGCGCCAAGCAGATGCTGGAGGAGGACGGGCCTTGGGGGCTGGGCTGGGGGTGGGGGCTTTGGTCTTTAAATGAAAGGATCTTTTAGGATAGCTGTTTCCTATCCGGAATGCACGCTGGATCACCCCAGGAGGTTTAAAAACTACCGGTGCCCAGGCCCCACCCGCCACGGATTCTGGCTGAATCTGTCTAAGGTGAGGCCTGCGGCCTGGCTTCCCGGCTTCTAAAAGCTCCCCAGGGCGTCCCAAAGCGCTGCGGGGACGGAACCACTGCTCCCCGGATTCCCATGAAAAAGGGCCCTTTAGGCCTCGGGTGTATGTTGAAATCACCTGGCGCACTTCAAAACGGACGTCCAGGTTTCAACCGAGACTGCGTGTGGCCCGAACTTTGGAAGTTTGATGAGCCCAGGAGATTGCAATCCGCCGGAGTTTGAGAATCTCTTGTTTACGGGCCGTGCGAGGCCGGGCGCAGTGAGCAACGCGCGCCACTGGGTGGCGCTGCCCACTCGGCCCCGCGCTTGGGAGGCGTGGGCCGCTGCGCGCACCTGACCTGCCTCCGCCAGGCTGGCCGCGGGGCATGCAGCCGGCCGGGGGCGGGGCTCCGAGGCCGGGTCGCGGTGACGGGCTCCCGGGCTGCCTACACCAGCTGGACCCCGCCAGCCCCCTGATGCTGCTTGTGGACGGCGACCGGCCGGAGCCCATGCGCAGCGGGGCTCGCGAGCTTGCGCTCGTCCTGACCCCCGAGCCCGGGGCCGAGGTAGGGGACGGGGGATGGAGGTGCGGGAGGCAGGTCTGGGTTGGGGGGGTCTGGGGCCCGCGCGCCCTGGGGGAGAAGTGGATGGGTGCGGGGCCCCCAGCGCGCTGGTACCCCGACCCGAACTCTCGGCTTCTCCGCAGCATCCTCTCTCGCACGCGGCGCAGGGGCTCCGGGCAGGAGTAGGGGCGCGAGGTGTCCCTTTTTTTGAGAAGCGGTGACTCCCGGGCACTACCCAGAGATGCGCGGCAGGTCGCGCCGCTTTCTCTTCCAGCCGATCCCGCCCCCTGTCCCCCCCCCGCCCCCCCTTACGCCGACCCTCCCACCCCCCACCCTTGGGACCCACTGGGCTCCCTTCCGCTTAGGCCTCCCAGCTCGGGCCGGGACATCGGACCCAGGCGGCTGGGAGCTGCTGCCCTTTCCTGGGGAGGACGACCCCTGCCAGGCCCGGGGCAGCTCTGCTCCGAGCTGTGCGCCAGGTGCTGGGAGGAGGCGGGCAGGCTGCGGCTGTGCGGGACGCTCCGGCCTCGGTCCTGTCTGTTGCTAGGAGGAAACATACTTCGTCGCTGCCTGTACTTTCTATTTTAAACGCACAGAATAAACAGTAGGTCTAAAACTAGACCCTTCTTCATCGGAAGCCAATCTGTTGACGGTGCCGTGAAAAAGTTACTTGCCCAAGTTCACCAGGAGTTATTTAGGTAGGCCTAGAAGTTCTACTCATTCCCTTTTTAAGTCTCAAAAGCAGTACAGAAGTATATAAAATAAAGGGCTAGCGCCCGCCCCCTTTTCTCTCCCACCCGGACCCTAGATCCCTGAGATCACCACCAGTAAAAGTTTGGTGTACACCATTGCATACATTAAAAATGCATTTACAAATGTGGGTCTGCATATACATAGTAATATATGTTCCTTTTTCTAAATCTCCACTCGATACTGTTCTGCAACTTGCTTTTCTTTACTTGAAACAGCGTGGACAAATGGGGAGTGACCACTAATGACATAAGGTACAGTGTGATGAAAATGTTCTGCAATTAGTGGTGATGGTTGCACAACTTTAAGAATTTTCCAAAAACCACTGAGTTGTACACTTTTAAAAGGCTGAATTTTATGGTATGCGAATGATATCTCAAAATATTTTGTTAATCCTCGCCCAAGGATATACTTTTTCCATTGATTTTTAGAGAGAGAGTGGAAGGGAGAGGGAGAAATAGAGAGAGAGAGAGAGAGAGAGAGAGAAACATTGATGTGAGAGAGACACAGCCATTGGTTGTCCCCGGCCCACTCCCTGACCGGCATTGTCAACCAAGGTACTTGCCTGACCCTTCAGTCGGCGGGCCAATGCTCTAACCACTGAGAAACCGGCTAGGGCTGATACCTCAATTTTTAAAAACAGCATGTCCAGTAGAAATCGAATCTGAGTCACAAATGTGCGCCATCCATGTAATTTTAAATGTTCTGGACCCACATAATAAAGGAAAAGGAAACAGGGGTGATTAGTTTCAGTTACTTAAAATAACGGTGTAGCCAGTATATCATTTCAACATGTCATCAATGTAAAAAAAATTTAATGAGATTTTGGCATTTTGAAATCAGGTTTTTGAACTCACAATACATCCCAGTTGTGACCGGCCCACATTTTAAGTGTTGCATAGTCATCTGTGGCGGGTAGGGGAGAGTGTAGGTCTGCATCATTCTTTGCCTTCCTAGTATCCCACGTTCAATGACAATTATTCCTATTTCCTGGGCACATACTATGCAGCTGTGTGCCGAACTCCATTCGTGGATTGTGGCATTGCATCCTGGCAGCGACCCAGTGGCTAGGAGGCGGTTATGCCGATTTTATAGCTGGGAAGACTGAGGCCCTTGCAGAATAAGGGGCGTCCTATGGAGGTACTGTAACTTATGACCCATGCCCCCAGGGGTGGGCATGGAGGTTGTCTACAGACTTTTACTGGTTTGAGCAACCTGAGTGTCTTTTTTGTGCTTTCTCTGCCTTGCTCTCAGCAGTGAGATGTCCCTGTGCCCGGTGGCTAAACCTCCGCTTCGTTTAGACTCTATTAGGGAAAGCTTTCAAGAGGAGCTGCGTGTGCTGACTTCGTTTTCTCACTCAGGCTGTCTTTAACTGAGACACGGGTTGGCTCGCACTCATTAATGAAGAGCCCAACTCCCTGTAGCTCTGTGCGGCATGAACCCACTTAGAGCGCTTGCTTGCTGAAGTTTATTTACCAAAAGAAGCAGAAACTACCAGAGTTGAGTCATCTGCAGCCTCTACTTACAGCTAATTCATTAGCAGGTCCCTGAGCGGGCTGTTTGCAGGTGGGCAACTGAGTGGGAGAAGGGAGGTCTGGTTTGGGAACTGGCCTGGGCAGCAGGCCCCGCCCCCACTGGCCTTCTCCTGAGCCCACTTTTGGCTTTTAAAGGGAGCAGTGGGAGTTTCAGCCCAGCCCAGCCCAGTCCTAGGAGTGTCCTGTGGTTCCTGGTGAAGTGTACCTGCTTCATTGAACACCTTGAACCCCTACCATATGCCAGACACTGAGGACACCACAGCAGTGAAACACACAAGGGCCCTGCTCTCTTAGGACAGGAAACACGGAACACACAAAAGCTGTAAATTGTGATGAAAGCTGTGGGACTGTCACATGGGGTGATGTGATAGCGGGCATCTATCTGTGTGCCTGGGAGGCAAGGGGCGGGGAAGGCCTCTCTGAGAAAGCCAAGACCTGTGGTAACCACGGAGGAATGTGCTGGGAGGAAGGACAGAGGTCCAGGATCTAGGTGGGTGACGAGCCGAGGGACCCTGGGCTTGTCTGGGTGAGATCAGGGAGGGCTTCCATGAGGCAGTGTCATTGTAGGCTGAGCCCTGAAGCATGAGTAGGAGTTGGCTGAGAGGGAGGAGAAAAATATTGCAGGCAGAGGGACCAGAAAGTGCAAAGGCCCTGGGTGGGGTGAAGCAGGTGTTGTCGGGACGGGAGAGCAGCAGCAGAAGGGGGCAGTGGGAGGTGTGGCTGGTGAGGCGGCAGGAGCCGGGCCAGCCCTTGGCACTGGCTCACAGGATGCAGGGGCTGCTGAGGGGCCGGGTGCTGAGACTGGCTGGCAGGTGAGGGTTTTACTGTTGCCAGTGCCCTTCGGGGTTTCTGTCCAACCAGCTGTTGTGTGTTTTACTGTCTCTCTGTTTCTGGTTTGAGCTTCCTCTTTTGGGGGAAGTTTCAGGGGGCTCTCCGGAAGCTGCATCAAGGTGGCAGGGAGAGAGGGAGAGGTTTGCTCTTGGGTGCTCTGTGACTTACAACAGGGGCCCTCGCACATGGCTGAGCATGGATACCCCCATGAATTTCTGGTCTTTCAGAATTCCATTGGGCTCCTGCGGCCCACAGATGGGTTGATGGCCTAGATCAGTGGTTGTCAACCTTCTGGCCCTTTAAATACAGTTCCTCATGTTGTGACCCAACCATAAAATTATTTTCGTTGCTACTTCATAACTGTAATGTTGCTACTGTTATGAATTGTAATGTAAATATCTGATATGCAGGATGGTCTTAGGCGACCCCTGTGAAAGGGTCGTTCGATCCCAAAGGGGTCGCGACCCACAGGTTGAGAACCACTGGCCTAGATGGAAGGAGATTAAACCAGCCCTTTCTCACACGCAGGATCTTTGCGGAATGAGCAGAGGATGATGGCGGAGAAAGCACCTGGGTCCTTTAACCACACGTGGATTAGATCAGGGATTGATGTTGTTGCTTCAAACCAGAGAGGGCTTTTTAAATGGAGAATTGCTATCTTAAGAAAACCCGAGTTTCTTGTGTATTTAAAATAATGAAGAGTCTGGTAATCCTAGGTCCATGTTTCCCAGTTGCAGCCCCCTGTTTGCCACAGTCCCCACTTTTCCCTATTGTCTCCCCGTGCTGAAGCTGGTATCAGTTACCATTTGCCCTGGTGCTTGAACTTATATTTTTCTGTAGTCATGATAAGAGGAGAGGGAGCTATTTCTCCAAACCACGTCTCTGGACTAAAGTTGGAAAACATAAATTAGCCAAAGATGCCCTTGAGTTTTAAGAAAAATGTAGACGAGGCTGGTTCTGTGTGGAAGCAAAGAATATTTTATTGAGTCCAACCTGCAAACACCGTGTGCCCGTGGGAAGCCCCTCCCCCCGGCGTCCTATCCTTGTGCCTCGCTGGTCCCTTTGGGCATTCAGTCTTCACATGGTCAGACTGGAAGGCTGTGGGTGGAGCCGGGCACAGTCTGCCCTGTCTCAAGCTGTAGTTCTGTATGCATTTGTTCCTCGGGTCTTTATGGCAGACCTACTGTGTGCTGAGCACCTGGGAGAGGCCAGGGAGACAGGTGCGGTGCCTGCCCTCAGGGCTGGCCTAGCAGTCAGATGAGCAGATGAATAACGATCAGAGTAACTAAACACCAGGAGACAGCTGAGGGCTGGGATGGAGACGCAGGGAGGACTGGAAGGTGTGACAGGGCACAGGTCCAGAGAGAGGAGGACTCGGTGATCCAGGGGGAGCGTGGGCAGGGCCACCCCTGGCCTGGGGTCGGGGTGGAGACCGGATCCGATTCTGGGGTCATGGATAGAAGCCCTGAGCAGGGAGAGCCGCGAGCAGCTTATGGACATCAGTCTGGGGGTGCTGGAGGAGCAGGGTGGCAGCGGGGGGGCCGCTGATGTGCCCGTCAGGTGGACACGGACTCAGCTGGCCGCACCCCCGAGTAAGAACCTGCAGGAGTGTGAGGAGCCAGGGCATGTGGGTGCGTGGAGAGGGGCAGTGTCTGTCAGGGGGAGTTCCCCTCTTTCTCCTGCTGTGGAAGGAGCCATCCGGCCCCGAGCCCCCTCTTGTCCTAGGGTGGCCGTGCTGCGAGGGAGTCAGCCTGGAGCCGGGGCCAAAGGTGCCCCGTCTGGCTGACCCTCAGCGCCCGCCAGCCGAGAAGCTTTAGAACAGACCAGTTCCCACTCGTTGGAAACGACCCCAGTGCCCATCAGCTCGGCTGGTCGCGTGGTGAGGCT